TCAAGGCTCTTGATCTTCGCGAGCGACAACCAGATGCTGAGGCAGTTCCTGTGCAAGACAACCAGACGCTCTATTTCAAATTCAGTCAAGTTTTTTTTCTGCCCTCGGGGTGTAGGCTTGCTCGAGTGTAGTTTGCATGTCAACCGCGCGCGCAGAAAAGACAGGAACGAGGTAGCTGCTTGCCAGCATCTACTCCGTTTGGTGGCTCAAGTGGCTTCCGCGCGATGCTGGTCGCAACTGCATCACACGCTTGCGTTGCCTCACTGCCTGGCGCAGGTTTTCCTTCCGCGACACGATCTGCTGTTGGAGGTGCAAGAGTTTTTCGAAAAGATCAGTCAACAGTTGCACCTGCTGAACGAGGCGCTCCAGCCAAGGCCAGACGTGCCCAAGTCCAGACGACAGCTGGTTGCAGAACTCGTCGATGATCTGGGAACCATGGATTGGGTCCTGACCCGTGAAATCCTGATGGACGGCGCCAAGCATGAATGGGATCTGTGCTCGCAGGGAATGCGTAATTTGGCGTTCTCGGCCTTCGGTAGCTCAGCCGAAACAAAGTCCACATGTGAGAACGCGTTCAGTTGGCTGGCAGACGCAGTGGCCAGGCAATCCAAGGCAAACAAGTTTCACGTGGCAACAAAGATGCTGTACTTGCTTTCATGTCCGTACGCTGGTGCCGGCGGCTGCAACCCCATTAGGCCACTGCCAGAGGACGTTAGATTGCAAACTGCTGAAGACAACAATGCTTTCCAAGATCTCGGGGCCTTCGCAGCGAAGTTCTACAAGCTTCCATTGGAAGGGGTCACGCCGCACAACATCAAAAAATGGAGACCGGCTGGCTATTTGTCGCAGAGGCACAGCGCAGCGGCCCATGCCTTCGTGTTGCAGTTCGTGGATGAACGTCGAGGAGTAAACTTTGCTGCCTTGGAAAATGTTTGGAGCGGAGTCTTGGTTTTGTGTTAGCTCATTGTTCTGGTTTTGCACGTAGCCCGCCGCTACGCTTTTACCTTGCGTTCGCAGCAGTGCCCAGGCTGCCTTCTGGTCTTGGGGCAGGTGTACCAGGAGAGGGCAACAAGGAAGTACATCCTCTCGCTCGGCTTCATGAAATATGTGACTTTGGCTGTCGTTTTGCAGCCTCTGGTGTGCGAGGACGACGCAACCGGGCAAACTTCGAGAAGTAATGTACTTCGGGCAAGGTCTGTTGGGGTGTTGCAGCTTACAGTTGATAAGCTTCGGCCGATCTAGATAATCGCAGACAAACCAGACCCAAACACCAGGTATATCTCCGTTTGCGAAGCGACGAGACTGCCGCGGAGGCGTTGCCCACCTTTGTCTGGAACTCCTCGCCAGGCAGGGACAGTGACTACGTGCACATCGAATGCCAGATTGTGCCACCCGCCTCCTGCGAAGCAGGGAATCTCATATGCTTGAAACGAACCTCTATGACATCCAATGGTTTGCTTAAGTCTGCGCTACTCAACGGCGTGCAGTTGACAAAGGCCCAGGTGGAGAAATGCATGGCTGCGGAACAAATTCCCTTCCCGCAGCACCGACCACGAGGACGTCTTCTGAAAGCAGATCTTGTGGACGCACTGCTGAGCAATGTCCTCGACGGAGAGAGTGAGGAAACGATCGCCCAGGTGCGCAAAAGGCTCTGTCGAGAGACACAGCCTGATGCAGAAGAGGACGACGATGACGAGCTATGTCCTGAAGAAATTCTTCGCTTGATACGCAACATGGACCAGGACAACCGAGAACACTTCAAGGAGGTACAGAAGGAGGCGGGCAGACTCTTGGAGCGGCGCTCACGAAAGGAAACTGCCGGCAAGGGGAATGCTGAACGAAACCGGGCTGCAGAAGAACCTCGCCCGGCAGATGGCCGTGCCCGTGATCCTCGCCCAGGAGAACCAGAGCCCCGCCAAGAGGCAGAAGAACCTCGCCACGATGAGGCACCAGCCTCCCGCCAGGAAGGACAAGAACCTCACCGCGATGAAGAACCAGAACCTCGCCCTGATCGCCCAGCAGCAGAAGATGCGCAAAGAGAAGCGGACTTGCCGTCTCAGCCTCATGTCGGGAGCCACGCATCCCGTCGCAGCACAGCGAGGGCATTGACACCGGAAGCGTTGCGAGACCTCCTACCGCCGCTAGATGATGGACTGTACTTGAAATGGCGCCCCAAGAACCGGCAAGTGGGCGTGGAGTTCAAAAGCCGCTGTATTCAAAGAGTGGCCTTCATAACCTCCGTTTTAAAGTCTAAGTTTTGTTTTCCGCGTTCAGCCCCTGCGCTCTGCGCCCAGGTACGCCGCCAGGCGTGCAGCGAACCAAGCAGCAGTCATGGTCGCCGGGCATCGTCGGGCAAGAGCTGGTGAATCAACAAGTTCAAAGTTTGGATGTTGTTTTCTCGTTCGTGGAGCGAACATACCACCGTCATTTTGACAAATCGACCAACTACGACAAGGATTGGAAGAGGACAGTTCGGGTAACCAATGAAATAATACGCTAGGCGATATTCCTCCTCGCATTTCTCCCTGCGAGGCCCAGTGACGCTGCTCTGAAAGACATCGTCATGCAGCTTGCAGACTGATTGAGCCCCCACCGCTCAGGAAGAGAAAAAAATGAGCAACAACGTGTCGCCTTGCATGACTTGATGACCCATTCCCCCCCCCCCCCCCCCCCCCCCCCCCCCCAAACCCCGCTATGCAGACATGCGTGGCTGCCACAGCCTATCCATCATCCTTGGGCGTCCACCCTCAACCTGGGGGTGGAAATCTGGGGGACCCCCCCTCTAACCTTATGAGTTTTGGGTTTGGGGTTTAGGGTTTAGGGTTTGGGGTTTAGGGTTTAGGGTTTGGGGTTTAGGGTTTAGGCTTTAGGGTTTAGGGTTTAGGCAGCTCCGGATCGAGCAGTGTTATGGTGGTGTTGTATTTACGACACTGATATAATACCCACCCGCCCAGAGAATCCCATAACATTAAGAGAATACAACGTATCTTCATACACCCTAAACCCTAAACCCTAAACCCTAAACCCTGAACCCTAAACCGTAAGAAAACCCTAGTTATACTCAGCGAAGGCTAGTCGTTGTCAGGGTTATAAGGGTTATCATGGCTATAAGGGCAATAAGGGTCATAAGGGTTCTCGGGGCTGTAAGGGTAATAAGGGTCCTAAGGGCTATGAGGGTGTTTCAGGGTTTACGGTTATAAGGGTGATTAGGGTTGCAAGGGTTTAGTTCGTGTCCTTTTTGCTGTCTAGGCTGGCATTTTGCGATATCCGTGTTTTCATCCAACAAGAAGCCCCCGGCACTTCTGCGCATCTCAAAGACGAAAGCTTCCTGAAATCACTCTGTGATGAACGGGCTCTCTTCCTTGGCTTTGGCATTGCATGCCATGCAGGTCTTCTTGACTTGGCTGCTCGGATCCATAGTTTACCCTAAACCGTGAACCCTACACCCTAAACCCTAAACCGTAGGATTTAGGATGAGGGTCTTGGCTTTCGGGTTCAGCGCCCCCTGATCCCCCTAAACCCCCCTAAACCCTATATAAACCCTGAGCCCTGAGCCCTAAGCCCTAAGCCCTAAGCCCTAAGCCCTAAACCCTAAACCCTAAACCCTTAATCCCACGGATCCTCTCTGCGCAGCTGCAGCGCCTCCATGCCAAAGCGGAGCAGCGCCTTCCAAGCTGTGATCGAAACCCTAAAACCCCCAAATCCCCAAAATCCCGGAAACCCGAAGTCCTAAACCCTAAACCCTAAACCCTAAACCCTAAACCCTAAACCCTAAACCCTAAACCCCTAAACGCAAAGGGACGCACTTCGAGGAGACCCTTAGAAGCCCAGGCAGGAGGTGGGAAGAAACATGTGTCGTATCAATCGTCATGTAAGAGCAACTTATCAATTTTTAGCTCCCCTTTGCGTTGAGGGTTGAGGGTTGAGGGTTGAGGGTTTAGGGTTTAGGGTTTAGGGTTTAGGGTTTAGGGTTTAGGGTTTAGGGTTTAGGGATGAAGAAACCCAATAAACCCAAAAAGGCAAAGGATCTAAAGTTACAGCGAAGCACCACAAAGAATGAAATGTGGTGAGATGGATGTTCAGAGTATTACCCACGAGGTTTAGAGGGTTTTGGGGGTTTGGGGGGTTTAGGGGTTTAGGGGGTTTAGGGGGCTTGGGGGTTTAGGGGCCTTGGGGGTTTAGGGGGCTTAGGGGGTTTAGGGGGTTTAGGGGGTTTGGGGGTTTGGACTTAAACCCTAAACCCTAAACCCCAAGCCCTAAACCCTTTTGGGCTCGAAGCCCCAAAGCCCCGAATCCCCTACGTCCCGTGGTTTAGGGTTTAGGGTTTATGGTTTGGGTTTTGGGGTTTGGGGTTTGGGGTTTAGGGTTTAGGGCTCAGGGTTCAGGGTTGAGGGTTTAGAGTTTAGGGTTGAGGGTTTAGGGTTTAGGGCATAGGGTTTAGGGTTTAGGGGGCACCCTGACCTCAACTAGGCGGTTTAGGGTTTTTGGGCTTCCCGCACGTAGCAACAAGAACCGCTAGAGGGTTCAAGCTCCATTCCTCCCTTCAGGGTGCTGTTTCAACCCTAAACCCTAAACCCTAAGCCCTAAGCCCTAAACCCTAAACCCTAAACCCTAAACCCTAAGCCCTAAACCCTAAACCCTAAACCCTAAACCCTAAACCCTAAACCCTAAACCCTAAACCCTAAGCCCTAAACCCTAAACCCTAAACCCTAAACCCTAATCCTAGAGAGCCTGGACCACCCCCCCCGCCTCTGACCACAAGCTGCTGAGGGGCACAGGAAGGTCCTGTCAGCCCATGAGTTGGTTCTTGAACAGGGAGATTTGGGCCTGTGGGGTTTTGGGCTCAGGGTTTAGGGTTTAGGGTTTAGGGTTTAGGGTTTAGGGTTTAGGGTTTAGGGTTTAGGGTTTAGGGTTTAGGGTTTAGGGTTTAGGTTTAGGGTTCAGGGTTCGAGGACTTAGGGTTTAAGGGAACTCTGTCGAGGAGTTCTATGAGTCGGGATGAGGGTGCGGCAGTGACAGCTTGACACGAGCTAACTGAGACTGTGCGCGAAGCGGTCTTTCTGCCGGGAGGCCCCCAAGCCCCCCCCGCCCACCCATCCCGTTGCGCTTCCTTCTGCCTCCCCTTCTTGACTGGCACAAGCCCCAAAAAGGAATGATTGCACGAATCCTCTCGAAGCACAGCACCCCGCCGCTGGGCAGGCCCCCAACCGAGTCGCGTGGCGCTGAAAAAAACAAACCGATGACTTGCCGAATCCCTGCATGCGCAGCCAAAGGTCTGTCTCACGCGGTCGCCATAAAGCCCGAAACCCTAAACCCTAAACCCGTGTCTCTCCTGATCAGCAGCAGCCCCAACACGGCCGGCACCTGCAATGGATGTGAACAGGACCATCAAGAGGTATTTCGGGTTTAGGGTTTAGGGTTTAAGGTTTAGGGTTTAGGGTTTAGGATTTAGGATTTAGGGTTTAGGGTTTAGGGCTTGCTGTAATAAGGCGTAGATGCAGCAGCGGCTCGAATGCCTCGTCAACTGCGAAGAGCAGCTCTGGCCCGATTGTGGAGGGCCATCAAAAACTTTTCCCCCACCCCACGCCGTCCGAGGCGGCAAAACCGCCCAAACCTATTCCTTTTAGGGTTTAGGCCTAAACTCATGACAATCGCTTACTTTCAATAAAACCTTTCCGTCACCGATGGCCACTTTCAGCCAAGGGAACTGCGGCGAGGGGTCCGGACCCCCCCTGGGCTGGGGCCGGGACCCCCCCTGGGCTGGGGCCCCAAGACACAAGGCCGGGATCACGGAGCTTGGATGCTGGGGTTTAGGGTAATGACTTTAATAAGGGAGCAGTACTGGTCCCGAGGAGAACGTGCGGTACCGGGCCCATCGTGGGTGCTACCGACCTCCGAGCTGTGGGAGGCGGGCGAACGACCTGGGTCGGCTTGCGCCATCGAGGTCGAGGGGCTTAGGCGCCGCCCCCCAACGTAGCGGGGCGGCCTAGGTTTTGAGTTTAGGGTTTAGGGTTTAGGGTTTAGGGTTCAGGGTTCAGGGTTCAGGGTTTAGGGTTTAGCGTTTAGGGTGTATCAGGGGAGGGCGCGCGCTCGGGTGTGAAACACCCCGGCCGCGCTCTCGCGTTGCCCGTCAACCCACCCCGGCCACCCAAACTATACTCAATTAGGGTTTAAGGTTCATTGAATTTATTTTCTTGTGCACAGATGCTTGCTTCTATGTTTTTAAAGTTGCCGTGTTAGGGTTAAAGCTGTAGCCTCGGCTTTTCGGGCCTTCAGCGTGTCAGGGCCCGCAGGGGCCCTTCTTTACTTGAAGGTCAGGGAAACCCTTTAAGTTGCACCTAAGCTGGGGTTCAGAGGCGCGGTTTACTTGAAGGAGACCCTTGCCTGAAACCTTGAAAGTCCTGATCTGCCCCCCTGCCTCCTTGCCTGGAGGTCCTGAGGGGCTGTCCGGGAGGTGGGAGACCCTCCTGGTTCGCCCCAAATCCCGCAGCCGGGACCCCTGCCCTCTCGGTCCAGGAATTTCGCCAGCGGGACGGCCAGGGGGGCCCAGGCAAACCCTGAACCCAAAACCCCAAACGTCGTCCAGAGGAAATGGCCCGGTTTGGCGTTATACTTTAGCTACGCTAAAGGTGGTCAGGATACGGCCATCCCTTGTTCGAGTACTGTAAGGAAGGCCAATATCCGTTGGCCTGTCCAGGACAGACAGTGAGCTTAACCCTCACCTTTCCGTCTCTCTTTTCGTATGGGCGCTCGGGGTGAAAGGCCCTCGGCCGAGCGTTCGGGGTCTGTCGCTCGACGGAAGCGACCCCTCACTTAGTCTTGGGTTTCAGGTTTAGGGTTTAGGGTTCAGGGTTCAGGGTTCAGGGTGCAGAGTTCAGGGTTTAGGGTTGAGGGTTTAGTGTTTAGGGTTTAGGGTTTGGGGTTTAGGGTTTAGAGTTTAGAGTTTAGGGTTCAGGGTTTAGGGTTTAGGGTTTCGGGTTTTGGGTCTAGAGCCACAAGCCTGAAGAATTCCGCTTCAAATGGACCCCCTCAAGCCTCGCAAAACTCGTGCTCTACGAAGCTCTAGGCAGCCCAAAGAGCAACGACCCCCCTCCCCCTGGCCTTCATTAAGGAATGCACCTTAGACTAATATAGTGGGTTCTTCTTATGAACTTCAAGGTTAAAGTTTGGGTTCTCTACCAACCCCTGATATAGAAAGCCCTTCGGGGCCTCTCACCCTCCACCAAGATGTGGTTTACGAAAATAAGGGACTCCCAATATAGATCCCCAAAAAGCAGGATTCCCTAATCGAATCGAGTCAGGACCCAAAGAAGGTCCCCCAAAAATTGGGAAACCCCCCCAAAATCCAAGCATTGCCTTGTCGTCCATCCACCAAAGCCCTCCACAGCTCCTTGCCGCCAACCTTGGCAACCATCAGGAGCTTCCGAAACTCAGGGGTTTAGGCCTGAGGGCTCAGGGTTTAGAAGGTTCCTCAAGCTCAGAGGTAAGCGACCTGAGGGT